GAGCTTAGCACAGAATGGGTCATCTTTGTAGGATGATTGGATTTGAAGAAGTAATTGTTCATCTGTAGAGATTGTAAGGTAGGAGGATACTACTATAGGGGGGGAGAATTCCTCATCTGGAAGTCTGGACAGAGTGTTAGCAGCTTTGTTTTGTTTGCTAGGCACATATTGAACATCAAAAATGTATTGAGCCAGGAATTCTTACTAACATACTTGTCAGTACAAGAGATCTCTCTAGGAAAGGAAACTTGTGAGTGTGTTGTGATCTGTGAATACAGTGAATATAGTTCCTAGAAGGTCAGAGTAGAACTTTTTAAGAGCTTTCACAATAGTGAGCAATTCCTTCTTGTAGACTGGGTAGTTATACTCTGTAGGCTTCAAGGGAGTAGAGTTATAAGCAACAGGACAAGCCAAGTCCAGTAAAGGCCCAAAGGAGAGAACTGTGCCTGTACAGAGATCTGAGGCATCTGTGTGAAGATAGATCTTATTGTTACTAGGATCCAGGTAGTTAATGACTGTTAAGTATTGTACAGACATAGTAAGAGCCTTGATAGTGTCAAACACATGTTGAAACTTTAAAGACTAGTGTGGGAAATCCTTATCACATTCCTTTAATGTCAAAGGGTTCAAGACAGTAGTATGTTCTGTAAGTCTAGGTAGAAAGGGAGTAAGAAACTAGACAAGACTAAGAAACCTCTGTGTGTCTGAAGAAGATTGTAGCACCAGCTATTGTATAATCTTCTCAGTTTTGGTAGGGTCTACATGTATGCCTTACTGATCTATTTAATAACCTAAGAAATCAATTGATGAACAGAACAAGGAGGTTTTCTTCAGAGAACAGAAGAGGTGTACTTCCTGAAGAGAGTCTAGAACAATAGAGATATTCTTAGTATAGGCTTTAAGATTGGCAGACCAGATAATAATGTCATCCAGATAGACATAGCAGATCTTACTAATGAGACAATGTAAGGCTTCTGTCACACAATACTGGTAGGTGGCAGGAGCATTTCTGTAGCTTATAAGTATAACAGTCTATTCATAGAGTCTAAGTAGTGTATTGATTACAGTCAAGTAGATGTTATTAGGATGAACACAGGTCTGAAAGAAGGCATTTGTCATGTCAATTTTTCCCCAAATAAGACCTTTTGTACAGTCAGCCAGGATATTGTCTATCTGAGGTAGTAGATAGTTATTAGGTATTGTATTACTGTTAAGCTCCTAATAATCACAAACCATATGTGGAAGAGCTGAAGGGTCTAATTTAGCAATAAGGAAAGTAGGAGAGGTGATAGGACTGGAAGAGAGTCTTAATCTGCTAGTCAGAAGATGGCTCTGTAGAAGGACCTCCTATGTATTGTAATATTTTATAGGGCAGGAGTACTAGTAAGGCTTTATCTGAAGGTTTGGATCTTTCAATTTGAAGTAGTGGAAAACATCAGAAGGGAGTATGTCCACATAGGGGAGCTCTGAACAGAAAAGTAAAGTGTATTACTTACACAGACTATTACTTAACTTAGAGAGATGATCCTGTAAGGTGAGCTCTTGGATTTTTGTATGTACTACTAAGATAATGTCTAGAGAGGGAGAGTCAACTTACAATACTTGTGAAGTTGGAATCTAGTAGGATATGGGTAGGAGCTGGTAGTTAGGAGTAGAGCAAATAGTCTGTGTGTAATAATGAGAGACTGTGATTCTATTCACAAGTAAGAACAGTAGGCCTAGGATGATTAGTGAACATAGGGAGAGGGCAACTACTACCCTAATAGTACAGGATTTCCAGGTGTAATCAACAGAAGTAGGGGAGAGTTTAACATATTCATGTAGGGTTTGTAAAGAATTGGAAGAAGAATTTGATAGAGTAAGGGAGATATGAATAGGGTTAGAGAGACAGAAACAGGGCAATCTAAGGTCACACACAAGTGCTTCATTAATAATTACTAGAGAAGAGCTATTGTTAATAAGGGTACAGACAGACAAGGGTTTTAGTGTTGTAAGACTGTCTAGCAGACACTCCTAATAGATTTAGAGGGGGTTAATAAGTATGTACTTGTCTGAGTCATTAACATAGACAGCTGAGAGTATTTCCACCCTGAGAGCAGCTACTACTACATCTTCTTCTTAATAGAACAATGATGAACTCATAGTAGTAAGTGGCTCAAGCTGTAATGAAACACACACATAGTTAGGAAGTTGATTAAGCCAGATATTAGTTACAATTAATACAACTAGTACAGACTTGACACAGTTCAAAGATGGTAGAGAGGGTATGTGCTTTGGATGTAGGCAGATACCTTCTGCTTCAGTGATAGACATACAATTTATTCTTGAATACAGGATCTGGTAGTCCTTTGTAAGATGATTAACATACATGAAACAGTATTTAAAGCATTCATTATAACAATTGAGTGTGAATTTCTCTACAGTCAAGAGTTTCTCAATTTTCAGGCTTACTGTGTTCTCTTAGGCCTGAGAAATTGTATTAGAAGTCCTTAAGGGACTAGAGAAAGAGGGAGCTGACTGTATAGTATGACTACCTTTGTAGCTACAGATTGTATCTGTAATGAGCTTACAGTAGTTGTGTACACAGTTGTCAGCCTTACAAACAGTAGCAAGCCAGTCCTAGAAGTCAGTAATGCCTTAAATTCCAGGTTTAGAGTACACTTGTTTGAGGTCAATATTCAGACAGGTACTCATGAGAAAGCAGATTTCCTAGTAAGAGAGGATGGTAGGACTTCTGCTGAGAAGATGGTTTTGGCCAAGAATCTTGAAATAGAACTTGTTAGCACATTTTCTATCCTGTTTAAGATTTTCAATTTCATTACACAGCTTAAGGTCCCAATTATGCTTAAGAACAATTCTCTTAAGGTTAGTAATAAACTCTTCAAACTCTATAGCCTCAATCCAGCCAGGTTAGACTGTATACCAACTACAGACTTTAATAGGCTCAAGACTATGTATGATAAGGCAGACTTGTTTGTTGTTAGGAATATTCTTGTGTGTGAAGAAGGCAGCACATTTGCAGGCATATTCACTAAGGAGCTTTAGGGTCATTTGACTGTCTGTTACAGTAGGGGCAGAGTTGGGCTTATAACTACTAATTTGGGCTAGAGGCTCTAAGACATTCTCAAGACTGTATCTCTTCTTGTACCTCCTTCAATACTAGTCAATTGCCTGTTCTACAACCTGAGTAGAGACATTGTCTCTACTCAGGTTGCAGAACAGGCAATTGACTAGTATTGAAGGAGGTACAAGAAGAGATACAGTCTCAGGAATGTCTTAGAGCTATTTATAAGATAAGTCATGTGATGAGGCTAACAGATCACATGTAACCTCCACAAGGTTACAGCTTGTAGTAATATGAACTCAATAAACATGTAAGTTTTTTTCTCTTCCATTCTTATATTACTTTATATTAAAACCTATAAACTAAGATCCATGTTTTAAACATGGATAATGCTAGAAATTGTAATACAACTACAGTAGAGGTGGCCAAGTTACTTCCAAACTTTCATGGTATGAAATCTTGTACTCAATACTTTGGCCACATTTTGAATCTGGTTACAAAGGTAATCAATATAATATACTTTCTATATTGTGTATTAAATCTTTTTTTTACTTTTCTTAGACCATCTTGTCACTATTTTCAAAATCTCTCAAGCAAAAGCAAGCTGTAAAGATAGGTTCTGTTTCACACTCCTCTCAGGGCACTGCTAATGTAATGCCCTCTAAGGTAGTTGTTAATACTGGTGATAATCTCTCACCTGAAGAATCAGAAATTGTAGCTGTGCTTGGAGACAATGAGAATTCTAGTAACAATAGTCAAGTATTCTATGATTCTACTATAGTTTCTACTGTTTGAGATCAAGCTATTACTGAAATGTAAGCATTGGGTGTTTTTGTATCTACAGCCAATATGAATGAGGCAAAATTAGTTCTTCCAAAAGTAAGTATCATTTACTCAGGAATATTTAACTATTACTATTATATACTAATACTTAAGTTTAGATTGCTGGTCTTACAAAGAAAGTGCATGATTCTACTACTTTGAAGGAGGAATTTGACAATTTGGTGACTACTGAGGCTTGTAATCCCAGATCTCACATTTATGGTCAAAAACGAGCACTTGATAGAAGAGTTCCTACTCAATGGAATTCAGATTTTGCTTGCCTTGACTCATATTTGTTTTTGCATTCAGCTGTTGAAAAACTGATTGGTCAGTAAGAGTTAAAGCTGTAGTACTTTGTTCTTAACAATACTCAGCTAAAACTTGCTCAAGAGTTACATCAAGTCCTTTGGGTAAGTTCCTATTTTTATAAAGGTATTGTAACTAATAGAATTATATAGATACTAGAGGACATGACTCTGTTGTTTTCTAGAGCAGAAGTACCACTTATTTCAGATGTCATTCCTATAATGTTTGATGTTTGTAATGCTCTGAAAACTGCAAGTAGTGATTCTAAAAACTCAGTAGTTGTTCAAATTGCAGTATATGCTGGTAATCTTGTTTGTCAGAAGTATCTTACTCTGTCAAATGAGTGCGAAGTTTACTTCATTTCAATTGGTATGTACTTTTTTATTATATTTATTACAAAAAAAATTAAAAAACACTTGTTTATTTAGTTATGTCTCCAGATAAAAAGCTTGACTGGTTTTGAAAGAGGAGCTTTTCTATGGAGAAAGTGCAGGAGATTAAAAGCCAAGTGATACAATGGTGGGAAGAGTCTTATAGACAATTCCAAGCAACTTCATCTGAACTGGCTTTACTAAATACTCAACCAATTGTAAGTTTTTCACATTAATTATATTAACAATACTAATATTCTTTATTATAGAATCACTCTCATTATATGCCCAGCCGTCTATCAGCACCTATTGGATTAGCAGATAGTATTCATGTTTATCTGGATGAACCACCAATTCCAGATTCAGCAATCCAAGCTGCTGGTAGTATTATTCAATACTGGGCCAATTGTGAGCTAAAGCACCCTAGTTTAGCTAGGATGGGTCTGGATTTTTGCTCAGCTCCAGGTATTTTTTAATATTCTCTACTGAAGATAACAGTTTTTAACGCATTTTGTATTACTAAGCAACATCTGTTGATGCAGAGCAAGCATTTTCTGTTGGTTGTTGTCAAATCAATTTCATACAACATAACACCTCATCAGATACATTCAGAGCACAAATGGCAGTTGGATCTTGGGATGGAACACCTTTATTCAGGAATTACAAGGATAC